CAGGAATGAGAAAATCTTTCTCTCCCCACCCTCCAAGCTAGTCTGATTAGTTTCTTCAGCTGTCATGCTTGCGAATTCTGAGCATAAGCTTGCATGCACTGCTGTAATTATCTTTGTTTCATCTCATGCTATAGGGCTGCACCAAAGGGCTTTTGATGTCTTGGTACTGGGCACAGTCTTTCTCTGGTACAGACTTGGGGGTCTCTGTGAATTTGTCCAGCACTTGATAATATTTGATTATATCCCAGTGTCTGGAAGCCTTGAAAGCAGGTTATTTATACAAAATACTCCACTAGCAATTGACTATGGTGATCATTCTTTTTGTTTTTTTACTTAAAAAAGATGTTGCTACATGGTGGTCCCAGCATGCATTTGTCTTGTTACCCTAGTAGGCTACAAAGGGAAGTTAAAGTATGGATTAAACTTCAAGCAGGTGAAAGTGAACAGTTTGTGGTTTTGATAAAAGTACTTGAAACCTGGGCTGTATTCCGTCTTCAGACACTTCACAGATCCCAGTCACTATGGTGGCAAACTCACCAAGTCAGACTAATTAACAGACTATTGATTTTGATGGCTGATCAGGTAGGTTTCTGTCTCAAAATTCAGAAACAGATCCTTCTTTTCTGACCCCTCATCTATCACGATCAGATAACCAATATTCTTTCTGGTATTGCAGTAAGGCCAATTTTGCAACGTATCATAACACGTCAGAAATAACGTGGGTTACGAAAGCTTGTCTAAGAAGGTAGAACATAGAGGGAGTTGGTATTGGAGCAAAGCGGTAAGAAATTTCTTTGCTGTCTCCAAATTGATTGAATTGCCCTTGGAAAGTGGGGAAATGATAAAAGGATGCGTCCGGAGGAGGAATGACGGAAGAGAGGAAACTCTTTAAGGCCAAATAGTGAGGCAGGATGAGTGCAGCAGTCAGCAAGGCAAGTGGCAAGGACTCGGAAACGGTATGGATATGCAGAGCTTGTAAGGAACTGACTTCTGATGCCACTTGTGCAGCTCTTTTAAGTCATCAGCTGGGGAGTGCGAGGGACAGGGAGCTGCTGGGACATCTTATTCATCAGGAAGTAAGTCCAGGAACGCCCCCTTCTCTCGGTAGGCCTATGGGTTCCTTTCATAGCTTCCCAAAAGGATCTAAGGATGTCCCGTGCTTTATCTAAAATACTGCTCCGAATATAGCCTGCAGTCATACTAGTCATCTTTGCAGCAGTGAAGTCTTCATATTCCGCAAATCAAAATTCCTTGAGTACCTCCTGTTTAAGTCTATATATTCAAATGCTTTGAATATTCACATTTTTTGCTTGAAATCATAGAAGTCTCATACCTATTAATTTAAAATATGTGTATTTTCACTTTTATTCACGTTAAAGTCTGCTGTGTGAAGTCTGCTTTTTACATCTTTGTGATCTTTTGAGCAGCGTAAACCTTCTTGGACTTCAAGGTACAAGATTCATTTCAACAACTGCTATTGGTAGTCAGTTGTGCTGACAAAGGGGAACAGTGAAGTTGTAGTTAATTCCTGTACTGAAAAGCAGTAGCTCTTCCAGAGCCATATATATTGGTCTGTTGAAGCACGCTGTGTATGTCCATACACCTATGTGAGAACAGACCATTTGTCATGTTTCATGAAGGCAATACTTAAAAGGGTTTTTTAAATCTTCCTTATGATGGGACTAACTCCTCTTTAATTTATGAAAGGAAGTAAATGATTCCCATTCTAAATTCTTCTCTTGGCTGGGTATTCCTGTCCTGGTTAACTTCACTGAGACTGCTAATTCCCACTAGTTGGGCGCCGAGGCCAACATTTCTTTTCACATCCTCTCTGGCTACACTTGCTAAAATGCCCCGCAGATTCCACCTTATCTGACCTGTTACATAAAGTGGTTTCCAGCAAAAGGAACTTAACTTGCTAAGTGTAGGCAGAACTGTTAAGTGAAATTGCATCTCAAACTGTTTTCTTGTACGTTAGAGGACCGTAAATACACCCAAGAACTTTTAACTTAAAAAAGTCGGCACATGGTAGGAAGTTGCTGACAGCCTTCAGCTGGGAGGCTGCAGATGACACCTGGAATATCCATATTGGTGGCTTTAAAATATAAGAGTAGTAGAGCTGAGATGAAATTTAGTAGAAGGAGCATGTGACGTGGCTTTCAGGTCTAGTAACAAGAATACTGCTACTATCTGTGAGTTCAGTAATTTGAAAGAAGGTAAGACCCAAGTGTGTTTAACTACAGGTTGGCCACTGAGTGTCCGTTTAATGCAGCCTCAGAAAGATAGGTTTGATCCTTCCATGTACTGAGGTTCTCATATGATCTCAGCTGAAATAGCACGTAGTCTGATCATCTCTGTTCAAGAAAGATGGACTACAGTAGAGGAAAACGTTTCTAATAAACAGCGGCCTATTTACATTTGATGCACTTAAAAAAGGTAATGACATCCTTTTTCTGCAATTTTGTTGTGTTGGGCTAAATGTCAGGAAGAGAACAACCACTTATTTTTTGAGCACATGACACGGCACTACAAAAAGTTTATAGTCTCAAGATCAGTGATCAGTATAATGAAGATCAGTATAATGGGATTTGCAAATGATTTTGATGTAAAATATGCTTTTGATCAGTTTGGTTTAAGAAAGATGCAACGGTCCTCTTACGCAGGCCCCTGAATGAATGGAATCAAAGCACACTGTTTTTCAAATTCTTAGAATTATCTCAAATTGTACAATTTTACAATATTTACCAGTTCACTGACTTTAAAAATTAATCAAAAAATTACTATGCATTTCTCCATGTGTTCAAATATGTTTTGAATATGCTATGTCTGAACATTAACCATAGATCTATTCACAACTGAAGTCCTGAAGAAGAATTTTATAAGGACTGAAGTTACTGCAGAAGTTGCACGGATAAGTAGAAAGCTGAATTCCACTAAGATTTAATTAATAAACTCCAATCCTACAAATACTACTATCTCCAACTTTTACTGCTCCAGGCTGCAAAATGAGTCCGTATGTTTGTGGGATCTGGTTTTAAATGATGACAGACGGATTATTACTAATACTATCCGGTAACCTCTGTTTAACTGCAGTTCTGCTTGATTTATATCAAATTCATCATTCCTGTAGGGTTGGGGAATAAAAAAAAAGTGATACAGAGATGTTATGCAGAGATTGCATTTCAGACAAGGCTCCATTAAGCTCTTTTGTCTTCCTGCTGGTTCATCTATGAAGACCATGGGAAGTTTGAGTTTGTTTTTCCTTGCTAGAACTCATCCTCCAAGATCCTAAAGTAAAACAGAATTTACCTTTGCTTTCCAACTCTTATCTACTACTAACTATAAACAAACATACTAAAATTAAATATGCATCATCCTTTCCAGAAGATTTTTTTTAAAAAGCTTTATTAAACATATACTCCTTAGAACATATTTAAAGACTTCTACAACCTTGAAGGAATCCTCTATCATACATAGAAGTTCTTATTTTCAGTACTAAATAAAGCATGCAAGCAAGTGCTACTCGCACATAGTAACTGAATGGTAACAGAAGTGGCCACTGGTAACTGAAACAACGTGTGGAAAACTACCTCACTAAGAACTTAAAACTGGGTTAGCATCTGCCTAGTACAGCAGAAATAAATAATCACCTGTTCTGTACGACTGCAGTTTAGTACTGAAGGCAGTACCTGTTTCATTTTCAATAATAAAGTATACGTCTTTTGAAGTATATAAAAACTTGAAGTACAGAGAGAGCTAAGTAGCTTGGGTACGTTTCCACATTAATAGAAGCTGGTTTATAGCATTAAACAGCCATCTCCATTTTAATAGGTGGATGAGGATTATAATCTTCAATCTGAAAGTCTTCCGCTTTAAAGTCACTGATGTCTTCAACCTTACGAAGAATTCTGAGTTTGGGGAAAGGTCTTGGCTCCCTCTGAAGCTGAAATAAAAGCAAGCTTATTGTATAAAGCTAATACTTGAAGGCAGAGATTTTGTGTTATAAATTAGATCTCATTAATCTCAATTCAGATTACACTATGTAGATTTTCCCTGCTCCCCAAGAAGACTTATACTCAAAAAAAAAATAATTATGATGCAGTTAGGTGGAATCTACTTTAGTATTTTCATAGGGAGCAGCAGCATAATTTTAAAGTGGATTCCTTGATCATCCAAATGCACCGCAAGCATTTTCAGTTTGCAGAGCAATTCCAGTGGTTACAGATTAGATTCCTTCCAGAGGAAACTAAATTGGAAATTTCGACCCTGATGTGCATCAAATGTGCTGCAGTTTCTCACAGGAACATCCAGGTCCAAACCAGTAACTAGTTCTCTGGATGGTTTTGAACCATACGAATGGTGAGGACATTCAGTCTGAGCTAAGTCTAATGAAATAAAATTCTGATTTGCTCCTACTGCAACAAATTACTTCCTGAAGAAAATACAGGCTTATTCAGCCAAATAGTAAAACTGATTAAGTCTGTGAACTGACAAGTTATCCTTTTCTGATATACTACAAAGACATTTTATTTTGTGTTTATCTGTATTAGGTGGAATGGTTTTCTAAGGTTTTAGAATGATGAAGTCAAAAGTAGGGGTACAGATTCCGGATCCCTAACTTGGTTCTAGAATAGTACACTGATGTACATTTCAATCCCGTTTGTATTGTATTTCTGTTTGCGACCTGAGTTGAACACAGGCTAAGGTACTACAATTATTAGGGTAGAAATGAGAAGAAAAGCCACACAAATTAATATTTGCAAAATGATATTTATAATACCAAGATAACTTTGTATTGGATAAGCATTGCGGAAGATAAAAGGATACAAGAATACAGAGTAAGTACTTACCTGAACTTTTAGAGGTTCCACATGATTCAGATATATATGAGCATCTCCTAATGTGTGTATGAACTCTCCAGGCTGAAGAGAAAGGAGAATACATGTGGTCTTCAAATAGTCAGGTTTCAAGAAAGCAAAACAGTACAATGCTTACAGTATTGATTCTTAGCATCTTACATCTAGTGTGGAATTGCAGCTTCTGTACTGGATTGGATTATCAAGACGTCCTTGCAAGCTTCAAAGGACACTATCTTCTCAGACTAATGCATAATTAATGAAAAATATAGTGAAATGTCACTAGCTCACAAAAAATTTATCTTTGAAATCCTGCTGGAATAGTAGCTTCAGTAAATGAGTGGAGCACTACTGATCTGCTCACCAAGATGGAAACAGATGGGGCAGTGACATCCAGCTTTTCCACTCTACTTCTAATAAGTAGCACTTGCCAAAGTTGGTTTCAAACTAGTTGCCTTAGCCACTACTAAACAATGCAGTC